AAAAAAAACAGGAGGACATGATGATATTTACTATTTTTACACACCAGAGGCTTTTAAATGAATTGTGAATCTAAAATATGCGTGTTAGAGAATGTACAAATGGTTAACATTGTTTGTGTCATATCAGTCAGAAAAGCAGTTCTGGGATTTTTTTTTTTTTTTAGCTAACTTAGTTGTTATTCTTGGCTGAATAACTCTAGAAGGTTTTTAAAGCCCTTTAAAATTAAATATGTACACAGTTTGGATTAAATGAAAGTATAGTCAAATTTTTTAATTAGCATGTTTTTGTGTTTTGCTTTGGTACCGAAATTGGTACCGAGAACCGTGGATTTTCACTGGTATTGGTACCGAATACTGAAATTTTGGTACCGTGACAACACTAATTGACAATCAATTTTATTGTTTGATACTGTAAAGCTGCTTTGACACAATCAGTATTGTATAAAGCGCTATGTAAATAAAGGTGACTTGACTATTAAAAAAAAAAAAACTTGACCCTCTAACACTAGCGTTCTCTATTTTTTTCTATTCTACTTGTTTTCTTTTTATTTATTATAAAAAAAATAATAATCACGGGCAGACAAAAACAGCCAATTCAGAGAGAAATAAAATGCACTGAAATTATTTAAACGCAAAACCGAGAAAAAAAAAGGAAAAAAAGCAGTTCACAAGCGTATACTGAACCATGGATGTCATACCGAATGGTTTAATATTATATTGAGAATCGTGGCATCCCTAGAGGCCACACACACGGTGTAGCCAAATACTGCTATCACTCCTCTTCTGAGTGCTTAATCCCATTTTTCAGCCGTTTACATCAAAATACTGACTCAGCTTACCATATAAAATAACAAAAAAATTATGTGGTGCTGGCTGTAGCTATGTCATAGTTTTTACTGTTATACTTTAGAAAGTTTGCAAGAGTTTTTCTCTACATTGCCCTTTTATTTGTTGCCTAAGAAATACATTTTATTTATCGATACAGAGGTACCAGAAACTGGTAACAATATAATGCTGGTGTCTAATCATATTATACAACCAAATTGAAATTGTTAATGACATCCTTAACAGCACCTCTGAGATGTGAGGGTGATTTTTCTCACCGAGTAACAGCAGAGTTCATGAATGATGACTCTGTTGGAGAAGGTTTCATTGTGAGATTCAATATGAAGAGTTCTTTCTCTGTGGTTCAGAGAGTTCTTCTGAATGAAGTAGACATAATCCACGCCTGCAATCTACACACAAATACAGGATTTATAATTTTATTACAAATCAAAGCTGAAAATGTAATCAAGCTTGGCCAAAAACCAGTATGCAGGCAATGCAGACAAAACAACAATATTACTTAATGTGGAGGGAATAAGGGAAAGGGAAGGGACTTTGAGAGGTTCCATTTTACCCGTTTGAGGAGTCGTGGTGCATCCACATCAAGTTTACACCTCCGCTCAATCTTATGAAAAGACCGATCCTCACTGGTCTCCTCAATGATCACATCACTGTCCACAAACATGGGGATCAGATGACAGGTGGGAAACCTCCTCTCATATGCCTAAAGAAGAGAGAAGAACAGAAGAATTGACTGAAGAACTGAAAACCCACCTGCTTTCCTGTATGGAATGAAAGAGGTACAGTATGTTTTTTTTGTTTTTTTTTGCATGAGCATAAATTCACTGAGGGCCACATGTTGCACAGAAAGAGAGCAGTGGGGAAGACATTAATCAGATAGGTGGTATCACTATTTAGTACACTGTCAAAGAGAAACATGGGCAACAATTCCAGGAATCACAGCTTCATTTGTTTAAAGTAGGGGTGCGCCGATCCGATATTCAGTATCGGTATCGGCTCTGATACTGCCATTTTCTGCCGGATTGGGGTATCAGTCAGACAAGACCGATCCAAATCCAATATTCTGTGTATACTATTCTGTGTTATTATTAAGCCCCACGAAAGGCACAAAAACATTATAAAGCACCATAAAGTTTTTGTGCACTATATTTCAAGTGTTCTGAGACCGTTCCATAGTTCAATGTGAAGTACAGATGAATATTTAAGTCGTTAAATTCAAGTTCTGTCTGTCATCCTCCATTCAGTATTCAAACTGCGTGTCTCGTTCGGTTATAACAGTCAAGACGATAAAACTCTCTCCAAGATGATACAATATTCCTATTATTATACTTGATCTTTAGATAAAGATCAATGGTTTTGCATAAAAGGACTTTATCTTGCTGGAGTTTAGTGCTGTTTCTAAAGCATGTTACTTTCTACCGGGTGTCTGTTAGATCACAACACTGGAGTAGAGAGCACTATGAATTGTTTTTCATGCGCACAGTAACTGAAATTTAAAACTGTTAAAAAAAGGCTCAATAAACTATCGCACAGATATAATACACTATGCATCAAAATCCTCTTCCCTTTGTGCTTTGAACTTTTCTATGCGGAGCGCTGCGCACTGTGACTCCGTGTTGCTTCAAGCTAGGGCTGTGCAAAAAATCAAATGCAATTTTCATGCGCTGACAAGCAACACAAAATCGCGTTCAAAATCGGCAATCAATCGCCTGCAATTTTGAACGCGATTTTGTGTAGCTTGTCAGTGAACTACGGCTCTGTGTAGTAAATGCCACTCCATCTGAAGGCATGTGCTGGCTTTACT